GCACAATCCGCGCTCAGTCTCAAACAGCTTGTGAGCCACAAATACCAAAATGAGTGGCTAACTGCACTAAAACGTTCAAAATGCCCGTTTCGGCAAGTATCCAGTTAAACACAGTCAGTTTTGGAACGTTAAATAGTTGAGAAAGAGAACGCATGTTGTGTAACAGCTGCTGCTGTCATGTTAATCAAAGAACAAAAGAAAGACAAAAAAAAAATGTTCTGCTCTTGACTGAATACGTTTTATAACTTTAATGGTAAGCATTAATCTGTATTTAATTTTTACAATGAAGACTACAGAAATTAAAGTAATCAAATTTTATTTTTTTCATTTCTGTAGTATTTCTTACCTGAATAAAAACTTACTTAACCTGAAAAACTTAGTTTCATAGCTCTCTTTATTCTATTGCATTTATTTGTGCTGTTGTTTGCTATTTTTTTATTTGTTCTTATTTTATTACTGACTTTTTACTTGTGTTTTTTAATGAAAATAAAACTGTTGAAGAAAAGTAGATTTTTGTTTGTATATGCTGTCAATTGTAGTTCTTAGAAAGAAAATTGGAATCGGCAAAAATCGGTATCGGCAGATCACACTAACAAAAAAAACGGAATCGGCCGAGAAAATTGCAATCGGTGCATCTCTATAAATAATGTGCTTTTAGGGGTAAGATAATTTATTTGTATGTGAGTGATGAATTATTGGGCTTGTATGATTTAAAATCCAAATGTCCAAATACCAGAACAAGTTTTGAAATTCATGTTCTTGCCTTACGCTGATTCACTCCAATAAGCATTTAATATTAATCCAAACTGAGCTGTCAGGTGAGTCAGGTGAAGCTTTAGAGCTGCTCTGATATGGTGATCATAAGAGACAATAACTGCTCCACAAGTGGTGTGTAATTTTATATTGCAGCCACAGATGGCAATAGAAAGGCCAAAGTTCAGTAGTGCAGGTTTTATGTCAAGTCTTCTGCCTGTACGTTTAATGTTTGCAGCTTAGTTAAATGACAATTGAATGCCTTCAGACTTGTTTCCCAGTGGTGATCAGACACATTTTATCAAACAAAGTTCATGAACACTGCTTGAATCCAAACGAATTGTTTGCATAGTTGGCACTAAAGCAAAAATAATGTACTGTATCTTGAATCAGCTAAACCCTTGTGGGTGTATAAAGCTTTAAGTTTGTTATGAGGACATTTGAGCAAGGTTTAGATTCTGTGTAGACGATCATTGAATTTGCCACTCTGTGCATTTAGGGGTGAAGCCGTATGCTTGTTCCATGTGTGACATGCGGTTTTTCCAACGTTACCACTTGGAGAGGCACAGCCTCACTCATACTGGTATGTGTCGTTACATTGGATATTATTTCTAAAACATTTCTTCAATATTTACTTTTTACACTATAGCACTCTTTAAAACTGTAATTGCAAAATTTTATGACACAAGCATCATCTTTATTTACATACAGCTATAATATCAATATATATATGTTTTCATTACTGTTTTTTAGATGCTGTCTTTGATGTATGGTAAAAAAGGTGCTCGCATTAGTCTTTTTAATTATATAAACCTAAGCATAGATACTTATAAACAGAGTTGCAGATCATAGTGCGTCTACACAGAACAAAAACCTTTATTATTATTATTTTTTTTTTTTAAGGTCTCTTCACACCAAGTAGAATGACACAAGTCTAAAATACTTGCAAATATTTTTTTGCATCAAAGCTATTCACACCATGTTTTATCTCTCTCTCTCTCTCTTTAAGCATTTGAGCAATTAGAAAGTTGAAACACTCTCCAAAAAAAAAGTTTATTTGAAATGATGTTAAGAATACAGTACTAGGCTTTTAGACTTATTTGAATTTGTCAGAATAACTTTTAGATAAATATAAATCCATTTAAACAGGCTTCTGTTAGCAGTACTAGTTAGTAGAAGTACTAGTTAGCAGAATTACTGTACTTTTGAATAAGCTGGCATATGATGTTGTGCAGAAATACAATTTGAAGACAGTTTATTGATATTTTGTTCTGCGTTTAGGGGTCAAACCATATGCTTGCACCATGTGTGACATGAGATTTTTCCAAAGATACCACCTTCAGCGACACAGCCTCATTCATACGGGTACAAGTCATCTCTTACCCAGTGCGCTGCTGCAACTTTCTGCATTGCTTTTGTTCATTTGACTGACATTTTCTAACTATGCCGTGTTACGCTCACTCTGCAGTTCCTTTCTGCTTTGCTGAGCATTCCTGCACATTGTCATGCATATGACTCTTGTTGCCTCTGTTGCCTTTTTAGCATGCTAGATATCATCTGCATGACATTTGCTTTGTCTGTGAGGCAATCACAAGTCCCTGTTGAAGCTTCATATTTAATCTTCACAAAAATTGCTTTCCTCTTTCACCTCTATCTTTGAAAGGAGCCCTGCTGATCTTTGTTCTAACAGCAAATTTCCATGAACAAATGTATGTCATTGTGGTTGGCTTTTGTGCAGTACTGCAGAAGATCTTAAGTTCTGAAGGTGCGCGCAAAGTATGGCATCCTTCAACTTATTCTTGAACTCAAATTATTTATTAATTCCTACCAAAATTCCATTGATTTTGAGATGTTTGTGCCTTTTTTTTAACCATGCATTCAAAATCTCAGTGTCCAACCTGGCAATCATGGTAATGCAGATATCTCATAAGCTCGTTTACAGATTTCATAGTTTTAGGTTTGAAATGGTGCTAATAGTTTATCTACCAGTTGTCAGTCATTTTTTCTGGACCCCACTTTATTGACTTGGCAAATTAGGGCTGGGTGATATTGCAAAATATGTACCATTGCACCAATATAAAATGTCAATTGCAACAGATTTTTGTTTTTTGTGTGTATATAATAGAGCTGCATGATTAATCGTTACAAGATCGTGATCTCAATTCAAACACCCACACAATCTTATTTCTAAATGACAACGATTCTCCTGTTTCTAAAATTCACCTTTGACAAAGTCATATCAGTGGGGCCAGTTGCATAAACTTAGCCTCTGTTAAGACAGGGTCTTAAAGGGATAGTTCACCCAAAAATTAAAATGTGATGTTTTCTGCTTACCTCCAGGGCATCCAAGATGTAGGTGACTTTTTCTTCAGTAGAACACAAACAAAGATTTTTAACTCAAACCGTTGCAGTCTGTCAGTCTTATAATGGAAGTGAATGGAATCACGGCTTTGAGAGTAAAAAAAAACATACACAAAACCAAATTTACACGCCTAATTGAGATTCTAGATAGTGTCAATGGTCCATTTGAGAGATAGGTGGCAGTAATGCACTTATAAGTCTGCGATCCGCCATAAAGCAAGAAGAAGACGCGTCACACGCCGGCTATCGAGGATGCGCTCAGTACAGTTCAGACATTGCAGTGCATCAGAGGTAAAAAAACGATATAAATACTGTTCAGTTTCTAGCACAGACCGATCGTTTTGTATCTTTTCACATCAATGTATCATCACGAGCCGCAGGGTTTAATTTGGTTTTGTTTGTATGTTTTTTTTTTTTTACTCTCAAAGCCGTGATTCCCATTCACTTACATTATATGACTGACAGACTGCAACGGTTTGAGTTAAAAGTCTTCGTTTGTGTTCTACTGAAGAAACAAAGTCACCTACATCTTGGATGCCCTGGAGGTAAGCAGATAAACATCAAATTTTCATTTTTGGGTGAACTATCCCTTTAAGTATGAGTTTCATCAACTAGCAGTTATCCAAAGGGTAATCATTATTATTTTTAAATTCGACTTAGTCTAATATATGCTTTTATGTAACTGAATTAAAAAAAAAACACCAGTCTTAAAGAAAAAAAATTTACTTGTAGGACTAGACTAAACCTTTTCTGTAACCGGCCACAACATTCAAATCTGCATTCGCGCTGCCGCTGACAGAGAGAGCAGTTATCATGTTTAGGTATGGAACATACGTTTTTAAAAAAAAAAATTATTTAACCACACAGTTTAATTTCTGTCTTACAATCATTCATATTATCACCTAAGTAATGGGATAAAAGTATATAGTTGGGGAAAAAATACTGATGTCTGTGGTATACCATTTAAAATGGAGCAAATCACCTTTTGAAAGTAATTGGCCCTTCAAATAATGTTTGTGTCGATGAAATCTTTGCGCCACTAGGTGACGACAAGTGAATGTTACATTTATTTGTCATCGAATCATTAATTCAAGAGATTCAAAACTGCTGATTCATCCAGTAATGAAACAAATGAAGTAATTATGAGCAAGCTATTGCATCTTTCATTCAAACCATTTTTTAAAAATAATTCATTCAGATTAATTAAAAGATTTTAAATAGAAGTTCATTTTTTTGTTGCGGCCTCTAGTAAATTACACATTTTGTTTAGTTCAGAATTATGGGAGAATCGTGATCTCTATTTGAAAAACAAACAAAAAACAATCCTGATTCTCAGTTTATCCAGAATCGTGCAGCTCTAGTGTATACCATGATCTTCAACATGGTTAGCTCAGTTTTATGTACAGCAGTCCTGCATGAGAGACACAAACATGGAGAAGGATAAACACAGATCAGGAGGACTAAGGCTGAGTGCTATGATAAGAAGTGTCAGTCAATAGAGATTTTGCTATTTGCTATATATCCCTTGGTAAATATGATCAAAGAAGGCTGTGAAAATAAATCTGCATTGTTAATCATTTTGATCTTTTATTTAAAAAATTAACATAAATCTAACCTTTCATTTGATAATAAGAATTTAAAATGGGGGGAAAATATCATTATGACAAATGTTTTTCTCTAATACACATTGGACACAATTAATGGCACCCTTTTATTCAATGCTTTTTGAAACCTCCATTTGGCATAATAACAGCTCTGAGTTTTCTCCTATAATGCCTGCTGAGGTTAGAGAACACCTGACGAGATCAGAGACGATTCCTTCATCCAGAATCTCTCTAGACCCTTTAGACTCCCAGCTCCATGATGGTGCTCCTCCTCTTCAGTTCACCGCACTCATTTTCTATAGGGTTCAGGTCAGAGGACTGGAATGGCCATTATAAGATTTCTAACAAGAGTCAGTCACTTATTGATTTTTTTATCTGTTGGTTTTTGAAAGAATCAACGATGCCATGTATCTAAACAAGATGTCCAGGACCTCCAGCAGAAATATAGGCCCACAACATTAAAAATGCAGCAGTATGTTTCATTGTACACATGGGGTACTTTTTATCTCTGTGTTCACCAAACCCATCTTGAGTGTTTACTGCTAAAAAGCTAATTTTTTAGTTTCATCTGACCATAGAAGCCAGTCCCATTTGAAGTTCCAGTCGTGTCTGATAACTGAATATGCTGGAGTTTGTTTTTGGATGAGCTAGGAGAATTTTTCTTGAAACCCTCCCAAACAACATGTGATGTAGGTGCTGTTTGATTTTTTTTTTTTTTAAGGATTTCTGACCCTGAGACTCAACTATTTTCTGCAATTCTCCAGCTGTGGTCCTTGGAGAGTCTTCAGCCACTCAACCTCTCCTCCTCACCGTGCATTAGGACGATATAGACACACGTCCTCTTCCAGGCAGATTTGTAACATTTTCTGTTGATTGGAAATTCTTAATTATTGCCCTGATGGTGGAAATGGGAATTTTCACTGCTCTAGCTCTTTTCTTAAAGCCACTTCCCTAATTTGGTTGGAAGATCCAAACATGGCCCATTAATAGATTTCTAACAGAGTCAGTGACTTTTTGTTTTTTTATCTGTTGGTTTTTGAAAGAATCAACGATGCCATGTATCTAAACAAGATGTCCAGGACCTCCAGCAGAAATATAGGCCCACAACATTAAAAATGCAGCAGTATGTTTCATTGTACACATGGGGTACTTTTTATCTCTGTGTTCACCAAACCCATCTTGAGTGTTTACTGCTAAAAAGCTAATTTTTTAGTTTCATCTGACCATAGAAGCCAGTCCCATTTGAAGTTCCAGTCGTGTCTGATAACTGAATATGCTGGAGTTTGTTTTTGGATGAGCTAGGAGAATTTTTCTTGAAACCCTCCCAAACAACATGTGATGTAGGTGCTGTTTGATTTTTTTTTTTTTTAAGGATTTCTGACCCTGAGACTCAACTATTTTCTGCAATTCTCCAGCTGTGGTCCTTGGAGAGTCTTCAGCCACTCAACCTCTCCTCCTCACCGTGCATTAGGACGATATAGACACACGTCCTCTTCCAGGCAGATTTGTAACATTTTCTGTTGATTGGAAATTCTTAATTATTGCCCTGATGGTGGAAATGGGAATTTTCACTGCTCTAGCTCTTTTCTTAAAGCCACTTCCCTAATTTGTGAAGCTCAATTATCTTTTGCTGCACATCAGAAATATATTCTTTTTTTTTTTTAATTTGAGCTTTGTTTTCCCTCCTATTTATATTTCTGTGAAACAGGAAGCCATGGCTGGATAATTTCATGTTCATAATCACCCTGGTATGCTCAAAATTGTAAATATGGAATATACTTCACAGATATTTTACTCATAAGAATTTCTAGGGGTGCCAATAATTGTGTCCAACATGTATTTGAGAAAAACATTTATTTCATAATGAGATTTACCCCCATTTTCAATTGTTTTAGATCAATGAAAGGTTAGATATTTGTGATTTAAAAAAAATAAAAGAAATCAAAATGATTAACAATGCAGATTTATTTTCACAGCCGCCTTTGATCATATTTACCAAGGGTGCCGATAATTCTGACCACGACTGTATATGATCAAAGAAGGCTGTGACAATAAGTTTGCATTGTTTATACATTTATACATATTTATACATATACCTTTAATTTAAGTAAAAAAAAGTAGTGCAAAATCACATGAAATAAATATTTTTCTTTAGTACACAAACAATGGCCAAAATTATTGGTACCCCTAGAAATTATTATGATTAAAATATGTTCCATTCATAGTATATTATACATAGAAGTATATTCTCATTCATATTTGCATTTGTTATCACACCAGTGTGACTAAGAACATGAAATTATCCAGCCTTGGCCTCCTTTTTCACAAGAATATAAATATGAAGGAACACAAAGGCCAAATTCTCTTAATCGTTGATCACAATAAGTACAATCAAAGAATATATTTCTGATGTGCAGCAAAAAATTGGTGAACTTCACAAATTAGAATGTGGCTGTAAGAAAAGAGCTAAAGCATAAAAATTCCCATTTCCACCATTAAAAAATTAAGAATTTCCATTCAACAGAAAATGTTACAAATCTGCCTGGAAGAGGATGTGGGTCTCTTTGGTCTTAAAGCAAGGTGAGGAGGATAGTTTGAGAGCCAAAGACTCTCCAAGGATCACAGCTGGAGAACTGCAGAAAATAGTTAAGTCTTGGGGTCAGAAAGCCTAAACAAATAATCAAACAGCACCTACGTCACCACATGTTGTTTGGGAGGATTTGAAGAAAAATCTAGAAAACACTCTCAGCCAAAAACAAACTCTAAAACACTACTAGAACTTCAAATGGTACTGGCTTCTATGGTCAGATGAAACTAAAAATAGCTTTTTAACAGCAAACACTCAAGATGGGTTTGGTGCACACAGGGATTAAAAGTACCCCATGTGTACAATGAAATATACTGGTACATCTTTAATGTTGAGGGCCTATTTTCTGCCAGAGATCCTGGATATCTTGGTCATCATGGATTTTAGCAAATACCAACAGATAAAACAATGAAAACATGACTGTCCATGCTAAAAAAATCTTATAATGGGCCGTGGTTGGAACTTCTAAAAGGAAAATGATCCACAAGCAGACATCAAAATTGTAACAAAAATGGGTCACTGGGAACAAAACCAAGCTTCTGCCCTGGCCATCTCAGTTCCCTGACGTGAACCCTATAGAAAATAAATGGGGTGAACTAAAGAGATAAGCACCAACATGAACCTGGAAATCTGAAGGGGCTGGAGTGATTCTAGATGAAGGAATGGTCTCTGATCTCTTGTTCTCTAAACTTATCAAACATTATAGGTGAAGACTCAAAGCTGTTATCTTTGCAAAAAGGAGGCTGCAAAAAGTATTGAATAAAAGGGTTTGATTAATTGTGGCCAATGTGTGTTAGAGAAAAACATTTATTTCATTATGAGATTTCCCTCCCATTTTAAATTCTTATTCTCCGATGTTAGATTTTTGTAAATTTTTCAAATAAAAGATCAAAAGGATTAATGATACAGATTTATTTTCACATCCTCCTTTGATCATATTTACCAAAGGGTATGAATAATTTCGAGCACAACTGTTTACCTGTACAATGCAGGACTGCTTAAAAGTTTTTGCCAAAGCATGCACAAAGTCTCTCACGGCTTGACAAAATTCTCAAAATGCCCATCTTGGCAATTATAACTGAAAATGAGTTTAAAATTTAAAGGAGTAATTTGTGCTAAATTATCGCTTTAAAGCACAGTTTATGTCATCCGTATCCTCGATTTATTTTATTAGACATATTGTTTGCAATATATATAAAATAACTTTTTTACTTGTTGAATATTCTATTTCCTTTGGAAATATGTCAGATTATGGAAGTAAAATGGCTTGAGACATGAATGTTTGTAGCTGGTAGCCATTATTTGGCTTGTGATTTGAGTCAGTGCCCTATTAAGCTGTGCAACCATATTTCACTTGCTTTTTATGTGCTTGCAAACATCTCTTGCACCTTGTTCTTGTGAAGCATGCGATTTCAGCAATATCTGTCAACAATCAGCTTCTATATTGACATAATGTGTTGCATATACATGGTTTAAATCTTATGCATATTCTGCTCTGGTCATCTAGGGGTGAAGCCGTATGCTTGCTCCATGTGTGACAGGCGTTTTTTCCAACGTTACCACCTCCAGAGACACAGCCTCACACATACGGGTATGAGCCGTCTCTCCTTACCCTTTGCATTGTTCTTGACCTGACTACACCAATGCACAGCTTAGCACTGTTGCCAACTTGTCAGTGTTTGTCACTATATTGTTTTTTTTGACGGTTACCTTGGTAATGAAGAAATTGATTAAAACCTGTTTGAAACTTGGTTTCTACACTAACAAGATAATAAACAGGGAACTGATTGTGAACATGGGGGGACCTCCAAATATTTCTGGCTCAGTATTATTAAACAGTTGGCAGCAATGCTTTAATACCTTGTACACATTGCTTTTTATAGTTCATGGCAAAACAGTTTGCAAACATAGTTTTTGACTGCAACAAACTCGAGTTTGGCCATAGTTACAGACAATGCAATGGGGTGTTGGACATACTGAAAGTTTTTATTCATCAAAACATAACACTCCGGTACTCTGTGTTTAGGAGTGAAGCCTTATGCTTGTTACATGTGTGACATGAGGTTTTTTCAGTGTTACCACCTGCAGAGACACAGCCCTAACCCATACGGGTATGAGTCTAAGAAGGGCAATGCACATTTAAGCATATCAAACACTTTAGTTTGCAGCCTTTACCACATGGCAATCACACTTTCCATGGTTCTCAATATGCATTAAGGCTTTTTTTTTGTGACCAATTTTTTTTCAGTGTCCTCTGAGTTGCACCTATTTTATTTATTTAATTTTGTCAACGTTGTCATCTCCAGTGACAGTCTCAGCCACGGTGGTGTGTGTAATGGCTGGCCCATTCTCAGGGAACTGTGCCATATCCCGGCACAGAAATTCTCTTTTGTTTGTTTGTTTGTTTGTTTGAAGAGGTTACTGCTGAAAGTTGCTGCATCCATGAAATATGTTCCCAACTTAGCCCAAAAGTGCAAGGCCATAACACTCCATAGATATTGAGGGACACCTTGGGGGGCACATCCTCCCACAATATTCAGTTTACTACTTAACCAATAGATGTTTTTTTTTGTTTTGTTTTTTGAGCACACTTTATATTGGTTGTTAACTACTATGTGCTTACGTTAAGGTGATATGGTTAGGTTTAAATCTGCAGAAAGTGATTTCTGAGAAACGTTGTTGATATTTAAAGTCAACACCCAAACAAACCCACCGCTAACAAAAAAGAAACGCGTCCCTCCCTTCATTGCTCCGCCCCCAAATTCATGAACACACTATGCTACACAAACAAACATAGTTTGAACACACAGTAAAGGCAGCTAGAAAATATTCACAAATTTGTTTGTATGACTGTTTTAATTTCTCAGAAATAACGTGGGTAAAGGGGTTTGGGTATTGTCAGCAGCAGTGGTTGCATTAAAGGGGTCATATGATGTTGCTAAAAAGAACATTATTTGGTGTAATAAAATGTGTTTATGCGGTTTAAGGTTAAAAAACCACATTATTTTCCACATACTGTACATTATTGTTTCTCCTCTATGCCCCGCCTTTCTGAAATGTGTTGATTTTTACAAAGCTCATCGGTCTGAAAAGCGAGGTGTCCTCTGATTGACCATCTATCCAGTGCGTTGTGATTGGCTGAATACCTCAAGCGTGTTACTGAAATGTTACGCCCCTCACCATACTGTGATGCTGTGTCCCGGCCGGAACGATGAGACAAAACCAATAAAAACCCATTATAAACGAGGCATTTGTTGCATCCAGTGGGGACATAATTACTGATTATAATGACTTATACTGTCTTTTTACACGTTGTGTTGCATCGCGCCGCGTAAACAAAAAACCATGTCTGCATTTGTGATCCGAGAAACGACAAACAAGCGCTACTCTACACTGCTCAAAACTTGCGTTTGAATCATCAGTGGCAAATTCTTTAAATATGAAAACGTACTTACAGTCTGTGAGTCAGAACAGCCGGCAGTCCTCCATAAAATGCGCTGCACACATCGGGAATATTTGGGTTGAAGTGTTCTGGAACAGTGTTGTAAATACAACTTAACAAATGATTTCTAGTCGTGTCCTCTTTTGGAAGGCCAAACAAAGTAGTTTAACTTTCGCAACGAAACACACAGAGTCTTCACAACATGGCGGCGGCGGTGGCCGCAACAATAAAGTTACGCCGCCTTTCTTTGCGTGAACATTTGGTTGGTGTTATGCAAATCCTCTCACATCGTGACTTAAACATGTGGGGGCGTGTTTAAACGAGGCGTTTTAGGAGGGCATGGACCAGTCTTCACTTTTATAAAGAATATCTCTTTGGGTTTGAGACTTTAGTCTTTGCAACTTTAGGGATCTTATCTATTCACGAACAGCTTGTAACACTCCAAAGAGAAAGGAAAACTTGAAATCGCATCATATGACCCCTTTAATCAAATATTCTTCGTCATTGACTGATTTTTGTTTAGCAGTTTTTATAAAGAATATCTCTTTGGGTTTGAGACTTTAGTCTTTGCAACTTTAGGGATCTTATCTATTCACGAACAGCTTGTAACACTCCAAAGAGAAAGGAAAACTTGAAATCGCATCATATGACCCCTTTAATCAAATATTCTTCGTCATTGACTGATTTTTGTTTAGCAATTTAGAAGGAAAAATCTATTGCAACTGTAACTAATTTTTTGTGCATATGTAACTGTAATTTCCACCCCGGTCTAGTTGGTGGTGAGTGTGCATATTAATTAGCTGTTATCTATTATTGTCTCGTCTTTGATCTGTGGAGCACATTCTGTGGGGTTTCCTCCCGGTGAAGCAATGCTTGCAGGATTGGAAAATCACACATTCAGAGATTCCTGCAAACTACTTCCCTGGACGAAAATTTTGTCTGAAGTGGTGCGGGTAATTCCAGTCTCCAGCAGAGACCGTAGCTGAGCGCCTATATTTCAGACACAAAGATTGTGTTTTACTGTGAAAAACAAACAAGCAAGTAAACATTTATCTGCTTTATGTGGTGTTGAACATGAAAAGTGATGCACAGTCTCTGTTCATTTGTTCTCTTCATAAATAAACAAATGCATAATAGTAAATGCATGATTAAAAATTAAAATGTGAACAAAAAATGTATTACATTTATTTTCAATAAATTATTAAATTTATGGGGAATAATAGAATAGCATCAAGGCATGGACTTGATAAGACCTCTAAACGTGTCCTGTGGTCTCTGGCACCAAGACATTAGCAGCAGATCCTTTAAATCCTGCAAGTTGCAAGGATGGATTAGATTGGATGGATTCTGCCAGTCCACATTAATCTGATTTTTTTCATCCAGCACATCCCGTAGATGCTCAAATGGATTGAGACCTTGGAAATTGGGAGGCCATGGCTACACCTTGTTCCTCAAATCATTTCTGAACATGTTTTGCAGTGTGGCAGGGTGCATTATTCTGTTGACAGAGGGCACTGCCATCAGCAAACAGCACAGCCATAAAGGGGTGTCTGCAGTAATCTTTAGGTTTATGTCAAAGAAACATCCACAATAATGCCAGGACCCAAGGTTTCCAACAGAACATTGTCTAGAGCAAAACACTTCCTCGGTCGGCCTGCCTTCTTCCCATAGTGCTTCTTCCCCTGCTGCCATCTCTTCTCCAGGTAAACAACTAACAGAAAATGTGATTCATCAGACCAGGCAGACTTTTTCTGTGAATCCAGTTCTGTTGCTCATGTGTCATTTTAGGTGCTTTCAGAGGTTGACAGATGGGCACGTCGACTGATCGGTGGCTATACAGACCCAGGAAACTTGTGTGTTTTGACACCTTTGTATCATGAGGAGTATTACATTTTTCAGCAATTTGAGCCACAGTAGCTTTGTGTGATCAGACCAGACAGGCTAGCCTTCACTTCCCACATACATTATTCTTGAGTGCCCATGACCCTGACTCTGGTTCGTTGGTTGTCCTTCCTTTGTCCATCATTTTTGGTAGGTCCTAACCACTGCAACCCGGAAATACCCCACAAGACTTGGCATTTTGGAGATGCTCTGAGCCAGTCGTCTAGCCATCACTATTTAGCCTTGTCAGAGTCACTCAGATCTTTTCGCTTGCCCGTTTTTCCTGCTTCCAACACATGAAATTCAAGAACTTACTGCTCATTTGCTTTCTAATATATCCCACCCCTTGACAAGTACCATTGAAACAGTATATTAAATCAATGTTATTCATGTAATTTGTCATTTTAGTGTTGATGCTGATCAGTGTGTGCTTTGCAAGGTTCTAGTAATTGTATTGTTACTAACCCTGAAGCCACAGCGCAGGCACGAGGTGAATGTTGATACAGAAAAAGTCCACTAGGTGCTATTGCACGTGTTGAAGTAGTCCATCCATGCTCGTATGCGGTTGAGTGTACTTTGTAAGCTGTGCATGAAATGGTGCGTAATGCAAAAAAAGAAAGATTACTCGGGCCTTAAAGCTGCAGCAGAAATCAGTTCCTTGAATCAGTTCATTTACTATTTTCTGTAAAAGAAATGGCACATAGAGGATAGTGAACAGTTCAGGCAGTATGATTTCCATTGGGGAGGATGAAATCTGTGATTTTGCATCGGTGTCACACAAGCCACCACTTCAGAGACATAGCACAAAGCAGATCAGACAACAAAACAAAAAAAGTTCTACACAGAATGCTACATTTTAAAGCAGTTTCAAATATTGTAAATGGTTAGACCGCCCCAGCATTATAAACAGAACTAACAAGAAGAAATTATGCTTGTCATGCAGCAGCCTTAAAACTACACATCATCGCCATTTACTAAAAATTAAAAATGTTTGGCTTAGTAGCCATTTCATATTAAATCTAAAATGGGAATCCGTTAGACCATTATAAATTAGTTTTTACAATATCTGTGTTTTTTTTCCAACAGTTTTTGTATCTCATTTATGGGGCACAAATGGCACCATTTCCTGAGAATGAGCCTACTGTTGTGAACACGTTTTTTTTGTTTTTATTTGATTATTATAATTATTTGTCCCCTCCAGGCTCCATATGCATGGAGGCTTTAGTTGTTTAGTTGTTATTTTCAATTTTATTCTATTTTTTTAATAGATGATTATGCATTTAAAAATTTGATAATTTTTTCCCCCTTGTGAATGTTCTGTTATCTTTAATCATGAAGTTGCTACATTGAAGCTGATATCTGAAAGTCCATTCTAATACTAGTACTCTGCATTTAGGGGTGAAGCCATTTGCTTGCACAATGTGTGATATGAGTTTTTTCCAACGCTACCATCTCCAAAGACACACCATCACCCATACGGGTATGTGTCATCTCTTTGTACTCCTCTCACACTGCTGGTTTTCTTCAGCATGTAAAATAAATGAACGTACTGTTCAAAATTATAAACTTTTACCATTGAGTGTTTTATCTTGTATGGAGCAGGGAAGTTTCCCTTAAGTACACCCATAGAGTGTCAGTCATGGTTATTCACCTGAAGATAGAATGGCAAATTTCCAGTTTCACAGAATTACAAAACTTGACATGTTTGACATATATATCATAACGTTTTTTTTAATACTTGTTATTTGGAAGACACTAATCTAGTGATGGGTAGATATGCACATGTATTTATGTACTTTGTGGGAGAACGAAAAGGTTTGTCATAGGGAATACAATCACTTTTTATTGCTGCAATATTTTGAAAGAACATTTTCAGTTGATTAAGAGATTGAAGAGTCTTCTGCACTGTCAAGTACAACTACAGTCAGTTAATGATGGTGGAGATTTCTGTATTCGGCAATAATTATGAAAAGATGCATTTCCAACATCAATACTTTGTTAGAGAATTAAACCACGATGTAGTCGTACTAAAATGACAACTGGATCAGAATGTAAAACTAGGCTACTATCTTTGATTCTCAATTGGAATTTGTTAGGTTGTATTATTGAGATGATGCGTATGGTTAATATTCTGCTCTGGTCATCTAGGGGTGAAGCCGTATGCTTGTTCCATGTGTGACATGCGTTTTTTCCACCGTTACCACCTCCAGAGACACAGCCTCACTCATACTGGTATGTGTCTTTCTGTCTTACCCCCCTTAGATCATTATCTGAGCTCTGCTGCCATTGTCTAACAGGAAGTTGGAAGTATGCAATTTTAATATTAATTAGTTTAATATATTACTTTCATATAGAAAAAAACGGAGAGTCCACTTTTTTTTTTTTTTATTAAATGAATGTGCTCTTGGGTTAAAGTGCATACTGTCAGCTATCATTGACACTACAAATGTATACATTTCCATATAATTTTTTATTGGATACGAAGCGGATATCGTCCTCTTTTGGAAGGCCAAACAAAGTAGTTTCGCTTTCACAACGAAACACACAGCGGCAGCAGCGGCAACAACAATACTACAGCGAGAATAAAAGTTACGCCTTCTTTCTTTGTGTGAACATTTGGGTGGCGTTATGCAAATCTTCCCACATCGTGACGTAGACATGTGGGGGCGTGTTAGAATGAGCCGTTTTAGGTAGGCGTGGTTGACTTATCTTTTATGAAGAATGTCTCTTTGGATTTGAGACTTTAGTCTTTGCAACTTTACAGATCCAAAGAGAAAGGAAAAATTTAAATCGCATCATATGACCCCTTTAACAAGTTAGTTCATCCAAAATGGCAATTCTTTCCACTTTCATACACCATTTTACAGTCAATGCACAAAATCAGTCCAAAAATCTTTGAATCTTGATATTCTTCAGTCTAAATTTGAGAAAAATAATAAATATTCTATAGTTCTATAGTACTAGCGCATTATCAAGAAAAAAAGAGAAAGCACTTCCCAAAAGGTAATATGGCTAAAGCTATAAGCTCATAGTTACACTTTAACCCAATTTTTTTAGCTTAATTCCAGAACCTGAGCAAAATTATTTCCATATTTCTAAGGTGGCAGCACTGCAGTGTACTTCATGTCTAGTAGATCCTCAGTTTGTGAACTGCTCTTAGTTTTCTATGCATAACTCACCCTACTTGGCTAAAGAGACTGTAGACTGTATGTTGTTCTGTGAGTTGAGCAGTTCCCATGAGTGCTTGGTTTAAGTTGACTGGTGGCAGTAAGGCTAATACACTGCTAATTTGTGCATTTAGGGGTGAAGCCTTATGCTTGCACCATGTGCGACATGCGTTTTTTCCAACGTTACCATCTACAGAGACACTGCCTCACCCATACGGGTAGGTGAAATCTCTGTGTATATATCATTATGAATTGCCTCTCAAAGCAGGGCTCGCAAAATCGCCAGCCCGACGTCCCGGGGCTATTGTGTCTTCCAGTCGGGCTGCCAAAATATGTCACCGCCCCGGCCGGAGGGGCTATCTTGAATTAGTGATTCACGTTGTTCACTCGCTTGTAATGGTGAAATGGATCATTTGCATGCATTGCTAATTTAAACATTTAAGCGTTTAAACCATGCAAGCACATGAAGAAGCGAAAGAGAGTACTGTTTGGGGTGCTGTTTTATTTGCACTCACACTCAAAGCACACACAGAGAGTGGTGTTTCAAACAGCGTCCAAACACAGAATTGATTCCTCTTTCACGTATACTTGAGCTTGAACGGACACATACACACAAAAGTATCTCAACATACCTGTCTCAAGTATTCTTGTAAACACAGTCGGTTTTGTCTTAAGTGAACGTAAACTGTGGAGAAAGAAATCGCATGTGTATCATCCATAATGGATGCACGTGCATTCAGGCTGTAAATACCTGCTGCTGTCTGTCATTAATGTTAATCAAACAACAAAACACAACGTTATCAAATTCTGAGCTATATTTAATTTATACAGTGAACACTATGCAGTGTTACTTTACACTTGATTACATTTCTGTACCTGAAAACTAATGTTAGACATTATTTTATTTGTAAGGTTGTAGGGCTGTCAAAATGGCTGAAAAACTAAATTAGAATTTTGTACTTAAATATTATCAAAATTCAAGTTATATTCAAATTTAAAATGAATAATTTCAGTTATGGTGAAGAATAGCTTTTGGCTTCTCTTCTGAGGCCACAAGAGGGCGCATCGAGCAAAATATTACTAATGCATGTTTATTCAAAGCATAAGATAACGACTATCTGTGAAAAAAGTGCATAATGTTTAAAATGTTTATAAACCAATTATAATTACGTTGCTTAAACAACTATAAACAAAACAGCATCATGCATGTATGCATAGTTTAGTACAAAGGGCCGAAAGCCAATCATTTTTCATGCAGTGGGATGGGGAAAAAACCCTGCCATAAAGTCTCGATATATATTTTTTTCAAAGTTAAACTTGCATTAATTTTACGTGGCTTTCTAAACATGCGGCTCCTTTGTGCGAGACGCGAGTGCAACGGTGATAGATGTCCCTCTAGAAAATGCGCGAAATATGCGTTCTGTATGAACGGCTTGGTTTCAGTTTTGAAGTAAACAAGATCTTCTCCACATTGATGTTCTCTTTTTCCGCAATATTTTTAATGAACAACGCAGCAGCGCCGCATCTAGTGGCTTCAACTGGATGGGCTAACAAAAACATTATAATGCAACGACACTTACATCATCATCACATCTCGTGCGCCACTGATAAGGCTGCCTTCTTAACGCACATCTATAATTCGAATACAACGTTTTTGCATTCGATTGTGGATTTTTATTTTAAATTCGACGAATATTCGAAATTCGAAAAAAAATTTGACTGGCCTATAACTTTGTTCTGTTTTATTTGTCTATGCTTGTAATATTTTTTTTTTCTTATTTTATCATCGACGTTCACTTGTCTTTAAAAATGTTTGATCTTTTTTAGTTATGATACTAGTTATTTTCTGTTATCAAAAAAGTAAAGTGCTTTTTAAATAATGTGTTGCTTGAATTATAAAGAACCTTAAAGATTATTCAATCTGCGACTTAAAATCTGTAATATGATCTGAACCATGAGTTTTGTGATCCATTGCACCCCTACTTATTTGAAGGAAATTACAATCATTGATGTTTTTATTTTTATTTTTATTCGAGCTAGTTAAATTCATTTTGGGCTACCAAAATCTGAAGAATGCCTGATCGAAGGGCTACCAGGGTTTTTGAAATTTTGCGAGCCCTGCAAAAGCTCTCAGTATGTTATGAAGAGAGACACAATCTGTTTAAACTACAACAAACTCGAGTTTGTATTTTTCCTAATCATCAAGCTTAAAAAAAAAAAGAAAACACATGCTGACGATAATGCCACCTCCGGGATTATTTGTTTTGAATTGAATTGCTCATCTGATTACAGAGGAGGGGATTATGAACAGGCATGTTTGACAACTAAATCTTTGTGGCACACATAAAATTTCATGTTAAATATAAAATGATTATAATGCACTCACATAATACTTCATCTAATTTCTTGATGCTTTGTAATGTAGTCCACATGTATTTATAAGTTTGTTTTGTTTTTTTGGGTTACTGCGGATGCACTTGGTATGAGCAGGATTTTATTTCATTTTTCCCCAAAAATGCTATATTAATAGAAACGCATGCATGAACTGTTGGTGCTCTGTGCATTCAGGGGTGAAGCCGTATGCTTGCTCGATGTGTGACATGAGGTTTTTTCAGCGTTACCACCTGCAGAGACACAGCCTCACTCATACGGGTATGTGTCATCTCAAACCCCTGCCTTTTTGTAGTTAATGTTAGTTTTCTGCATGCTAAATGACTTTTTAGTTCAATTTTAAGCAACAACCATTTTATGTTTCCTTGACACATGAACGCATAAAATGGACATTACTAAATGTTTCTAATTTACAGTTTAAATTCAAAGTCAACAACATTTTATTAATTTAATGATAGTGCTCCATGAAGGTCTTACTTTGTACCTGATAGATACGCAGTGTATCTGTCATCAAAGGCATCATGTAACTGATCCCTTAATAGCAGCCTTTAATGTTGCTCCATATCCACCATTCCTAGAAACTGCTTATTTATTATTATTATTATTATTATTATTATTATTATTATTGAATTGCTGATCATTTATAGATGTTTCTACTTTTAAATGAATCATTCTCTAACCCACTCCTTAGGTACTGTTCAAATCAATTCATTAAGAGACAAGATTTACATAAATTTACATTAAGTGCCCCATTTTTGACATTGTGTTCTGCCACATAGTTTAAAGTAATGGACAGGGTTCAGTATGCAGGTCTATTGTGAGCATTTGTGGCATAATTTTATTGCTACTGAAGATAATTTTGACTCATCTCTCATCTACTAACTAAAAAAAAAAAAAAAAAGAAAACTTTTAGCCACTTTTACTTTGTCGTTTGGGAACATTATTTCCATTTAAAACCATCCAAACACACAAAACTGCATTAGACAAGAAATTGTTGGTCTTAAAATATTGCAAATGGTGTATTAAGTAAAATGGATTAAATCTCAGCATGCAGGAAAAAAAACAGCGTTAAAAAATGTTTTTTTGTTTTTGCTTTGAATGTTGTGTAACGACATTCACTCACTAAAATTGACTCTGCATTTAGGGGTGAAGCCGTATGCTTGCTCGATGTGCGACATGCGGTTTTTCCAACGTTACCACTTGGAAAGACACAGCCTCACTCATACTGGTATGTGTCCGCTCACTTTACCCCTGATTTGTACCCAGTATGCCTTGATTGGAACTAAAGTTTGTATATATTTTTGTGGTTGAGGTATTTGGGGGGAAAAAAAAGAAAGAAAAAAAAAAAACTAAGAGATGATTGACTTATTCAAATAAATGGCCAAAATGTGTAATAATGATTTTTTGAATGAGATCTGTTACTTTTAAAATATTTATTAGCTGTATCCTGCATCATATAATATTTGCATCAAAGTCAAGACTTTTAAAAATGTTTAATTTACTGCTCTTGGGTGCGAGTTTTGCGAGACTCACTTCACGCTTGCGTGTAGTATCAGGTTTCACAATATCTTTGTAGGTGTTCCTGCCTCATGTTTCTTTGGATGTGCTTTTGTGTTTATGATGTTTATTTACATTCATTTAAGTGTTAAAGCATAATCGATCGAAAAAAAAACTGTAGTGGTTTCTTTTTACCAGTTTTCAATGATCAGTCGTATTTATTCTCCAAGTAGGTAGAACATAACCTCAAGTCTCAAACTAGGTTTCTGATTTTTAAAACCAAAACCCCAGTGTGCCACTTTACAATCAAGCAGTTTTTTATTCCATATTAAACTCTACAAACTCGAGTTTGTATGGAGTCATATACTTTAATTCTTTCTGAGCATGAATATACTCTCTATTTAAGATTTCACGTGGGAACCCATATGACAGTCAGTCTCGATCCTTTCATGTCAGAAACAGTGTTTCAGAGTCTTTGTCGATGTTGTGTGTTGTGGCATGCTGCGAGAATGAAGATGTGGGGTGCTTCAATAAAGACTCTTTTTCTCTGTTAGGAGAGAAGCCGTTTGCTTGTGACATGTGTGACATGCGGTTCATTCAGAGGTACCATCTGGAGAGACACAAGCGTGTTCACAGTGGTGAAAAGCCTTACCAGTGTGAGCGCTGCCAGCAGGTAAGAATACGCTTTATAACTAGACAACTCCCATGATCATTCATTAGCCACGTTCACACCGCAAGAAACTTGCAGCAACAAAGAGGCATTCGTTTTCAAGAGCTGCCGACTTCCAGCGACCGAGACTATCGGTGTCACAATGTGCCTGTGTCCATTTGAGAAAGTTGAACAATATACTTTAATATACTTAAAAATACTTAATATAATTATGCATTGAAGTTAGTGGAGCACACGTGATCTTTGTCCCGTCAGATGCTGTAGGGAAATGTTGCAAAGATGGAGAAGTTAATCCTATCAGACGGAGTATGTAGTTGTTATAAGTTTTTACGTTAAATCAAATCACTGCAAACATATTGCCAGTTGTTCGTCAGGAAAAAAAGGCTTGAGAGTTGTTTGTCTTCTCTTTTATAATCTAAATCAAAAACGAGTCCTCTCATGTACTGCTAGAAATGGATATATTCAAGCCGCAGACCCACTTTTGCTACATATAGATAGCTGCAATAACAGAGATTTTATTCATCGTTTCAGCTGGCATACAATTTTCCCTCTAGAATGTAAATTTAGTGGCAAGAAAACTGATTTGATGTTAACAGCATGTAATGACATCTGCAAATGTTGTTCATGAATGTCACTATGCAACCATCAGTGTGAACGCCTATGAGCGACTGAGTTTGTAGAGACTGGTGACACGAAGCAAATAATAATAATAATAATTCATTACATTTATATAGCGCTTTTCTAGGCACTCAAAGCGCTTTACATTGTCAGGGGGCATCTCCTGATCCACCAGCAGTGTGCAGCATCCACCTGGATGATGCGACGGCAGCCATAGTGCGCCAGAACGCCCACCACACACCAGCTTATTGGTGGAGAGGAGACAGAGTGATGAAGCCAATCAGTAGATATGGGGATTGTTAGGAGGCCATGATGATCAGAGGCCAGTGGGCATATTTGGCCAGGATGCTGAGGTCACACCTCTACTCTTTTCGAAAGACATCCTGGGATTTTTAATGACCACAGAGAGTCAGGACCTCGGTTTAACGTCTCATCCGAAGGACGTGCTTGTTGACAGTATAGTGTCCTCATCACTACACTGGGGCGTTAGGACTCACACAGACCACAGGGTGAGCACCTCCTGCTGGCCTCACTAACACCTCTTCCAGCAGCAACCTAGTTTTCCCAGGAGGTCTCCCATCCAGGTACTGACCAGGCTCAACCCTGCTTGGCTTCAGTGGGCAACCAGTCTTGGGCTACAGGGTGATATGGCTGCCAACGGAATTGTTAGCGGTGTGAATAGGGCTTTAGTCCTTACAGGACTGGAATTAGTTTTATTACCATTTGGACCAAAAGTAACAATATAAGCAGTTAGGGAAATACTGCATATTGAAATATGTAGGCTCAGGCCCCGTCCACACGGAGACGTGCTTAGCTGTATATGCATACATTTTGTATTGTATAGGTGTTTCGTCCACATGGATTTCACTCTCATTTTGGGAGAGTGAAACCAATATTTTTTGAAACCGGGTCCCAGTTGTTTGTCTTCTCTTTTATAATCTAAATCAAAAACGAGTCCTCTCATGTACTGCTAGAAATGGATATATTCAAGCCGCAGACCCACTTTTGCTACATATAGATAGCTGCAATAACAGAGATTTTATTCATCGTTTCAGCTGGCATACAATTTTCCCTCTAGAATGTAAATTTAGTGGCAAGAAAACTGATTTGATGTTAACAGCATGTAATGACATCTGCAAATGTTGTTCATGAATGTCACTATGCAACCATCAGTGTGAACGCCTATGAGCGACTGAGTTTGTAGAGACTGGTGACACGAAGCAAATAATAATAATAATAATTCATTACATTTATATAGCGCTTTTCTAGGCACTCAAAGCGCTTTACATTGTCAGGGGGCATCTCCTGATCCACCAGCAGTGTGCAGCATCCACCTGGATGATGCGACGGCAGCCATAGTGCGCCAGAACGCCCACCACACACCAGCTTATTGGTGGAGAGGAGACAGAGTGATGAAGCCAATCAGTAGATATGGGGATTGTTAGGAGGCCATGATGATCAGAGGCCAGTGGGCATATTTGGCCAGGATGCTGAGGTCACACCTCTACTCTTTTCGAAAGACATCCTGGGATTTTTAATGACCACAGAGAGTCAGGACCTCGGTTTAACGTCTCATCCGAAGGACGTGCTTGTTGACAGTATAGTGTCCTCATCACTACACTGGGGCGTTAGGACTCACACAGACCACAGGGTGAGCACCTCCTGCTGGCCTCACTAACACCTCTTCCAGCAGCAACCTAGTTTTCCCAGGAGGTCTCCCATCCAGGTACTGACCAGGCTCAACCCTGCTTGGCTTCAGTGGGCAACCAGTCTTGGGCTACAGGGTGATATGGCTGCCAACGGAATTGTTAGCGGTGTGAATAGGGCTTTAGTCCTTACAGGACTGGAATTAGTTTTATTACCATTTGGACCAAAAGTAACAATATAAGCAGTTAGGGAAATACTGCATATTGAAATATGTAGGCTCAGGCCCCGTCCACACGGAGACGTGCTTAGCTGTATATGCATACATTTTGTATTGTATAGGTGTTTCGTCCACATGGATTTCACTCTCATTTTGGGAGAGTGAAACCAATATTTTTTGAAACCGGGTCCCAGAGTGGATAAATCTGAAAACGCCGCCCTTGCGTTTTCATGTGGACAGCGAATCCGTATATTTTCTGAAACGATGATGTCATCAGCTCACGTCTAGCACCTAGTCAGACACCGCTACGTCACGTAACAGCAACAAAAACATGAACAAACACTGAACGATTGGCTTTTTATTAACTAACTATGTATTGTTCCATGTTCGTTTGTATACCGCATGCAAGGTTTATGCACATAGTACAAGTCTTCTTCTCCGTTATTAGTGTATCTCTGTGGCAGAATTACAGCGCCACATACTGGTCTGGCATGTATACTACATCGTTTTGTGT